GCTTAGTATAAATGAGTATCAATAGCTGGTACTCATTTTGGAATAGTGACATTTTTCCACTTGGCCATTTTCCTTGTTCCAGGTCGTACGATCTCGATCATCGTTGGCAAACCTGCTTGTAAATACACATTTGCATTAAGATCAGAAGATGTACTATTTTTGACGGTTCATAAGTGGTGTCAAAATAGTTGGGGCAGAGAAATATTTAACACGCCACTTTTCTTTCCCAATAGTTCCAAGGCCTTTCCATTCCCTTTCCTCTTGATAAGTCAATTTTTAGGGAATCTTTGAATGCCTTATTTTATATTTCACGATCCCTATTAAAGATGTAATCTTTTTAGAACTGGATAACCCCACCCACCTGTTAGCTATTTGAAAACGCGTTTTTTTAACATAAGAGCAAGTAATTACTAGCACGTCGATAAGGCAGCTGGTATGTGTGTGTATGTGTGTATGTATGTATGTGTATATATGACGTTTGGTCTTATTAACTAAACATGCAACTTCAGTATTGCCCGCAATACAGTTGTCAAAACGTGGTGTTTTCCAGATTTTCTCAATTTTGCTATCGTTCAGTCCTGCATACAATGGTGTATCTTTCACCGTTCCCTCACGTTCTTAACTACAAAATTACACTTCCACTTATTTCAAAATGGCGTTCACTTCTCGCCCAGTGCCACGCACTAGAATAACGAAATATCACCGCCGGTGACTCGAACAATAAGGACTTGCCAGTCGTTCAACTAATTTATGTGCCTCATCTTTGTGAGTGGGGAGGTAACCCATATTCCCCTCATACCTATGATTTGATATGCGTCACATGTCCAGCAAATACCGCGCGGTGTTGTGATCAGCGAATAACAGATGGCGCTCTCTATGACCACCGCATGTCATGCGCCAGAAGCGCCGTCACAAAACTGCCGACTGCAACGTCACAGATCTAAGTTTGTAGCGGGATCAACGAGTTAGAGATAACTCTCTAACTCGTTGAGCGGGATTCGGAACTCGTTGAGAGGCGTCAGGCCGACAATAGCTAAATCTTGAATTTGAAAAGCGGTTGTACCTATTAGAAAAATGTAAATGAAGTGTGACTAATGCAATTGTATTTAGAAATGAAATAGGACTGAAAACGAATTGAATTATTACCAGAAATAAAACAGACGCCTTTAGAACTTTGCAGCAGTTATTCAGCTTGTTCGAGAGAATAATTTATATTAAATTTGTAATTTGAATTCCTTTTGTCCTTTAAGAGTGTATCGATACTAGTGTTGTTACGTATTGAAATGCGCCATGTTTTAATCATATGCATACTGCCTCTGGATTGTTTAGTAAATTTTAATTGATGATCAATGCAAAGTAAATGCGCATTACAATATGGTGTTTGGCCGTACACAGTACAAATATACTAGCAACATACTACATATAGCTACATACTAGCTTACAATTCAGGTGACAATCCGTTTATTTTGCGAGTAAATTGGGTAATTTCATGAATGTGAATCGAAGCGAAGGATCATAGCTTCGGGGTGTTGTTCGTGAGACGACACACGTAAGTCAAGTGTTTTTGTAATTTCTTTGATTGTGTTGTATCTATAAGTGATTTCAGAATATATGAGAAAAGTAACGTTGATTCCCGATTGTTCCCTTTCTCACACCCAGAAAATTCTGCCTCTCAGAGCAACACAAAGCTCATATTGAGAATTCGTCGGCGCCTCCCCATTTGTGCCTGCTATATGCATTAGGCGGAGGTGACGTTACAATATTCATTAACTTTTTGGTTAGATTCAACGAGTTAGAGATACATAGAGAGGCAAACGGCTATATTTCAGCGCTCCTAGCGTGATATTCGTGAAATTTGGAGGCCATGTTTTAAGGTGTCAGTGTTTTGAACTGAGTTAATCAACTCTACTGAATTACCTTTCTTCGGTGGTTTAGTTGCTTATTGTTCTCGAGTACAAGCACAGCGTTAAAACTAAACTCTTCTGTTTTTTGATGCTGGTCATATGCTCTAGAATAAGCCGTAATCTTCTAACAGAGAAAAAATTCATATGATCGCGCCTACTGCAGGAAATTCAATGAAGTTAAATTGAGAGTAATTTTGAAAACTAACCAAATGTCAAAAAAGAAGGGTGCATGCTGCAAATAAATTATGAAGACAGCATTTACTGTACGAAACACAGAAAAATGAAAAGTGTAGTTTAGCAGCTCAGACGCTCCAGTTGTCAGTGGCTAAAGCAATGACTTGTTTTCCAAAATATTGGATAATGAAATTTCAGTTTTGTATAAGTACAGGATAGTTTCGCTAAAGAACAACATGATTTAATAATTTGACTTAGTAAATAGTTGTCATCCAATTGGTAAACGGACAATGCTTCATTTCTAAGAGAAACAATGATGATAGTGTACAGCAAATTGATGAGTGCAATTGTTTTACTCTCAAAAATTGTAAAACTTTGCGATGGCTCATCTGTGTGAGATCATGCCAGAAAGATGCCTTGTATGAATTTTCATGACCTGTTAACGATTAAAGGTACTTGCAGAAAATATAATGTGGGAAACTTAATACCTATTAACTCGCAGGATTGAAGACCATTTGGAATTATTTTTTTTTTAAGGTATTCTTTTACGAACAAGAGGATGGTCCACAAGAACAATCCAATGCTGCTACAATTCCATGCCCGGTGTAATAGGAAATATTATACTTGCACCATCATGTCATCTCGAGAATGCAAATAGACAATTTTTGATAGGGGAAATGCTTATAGATGGCGCAGCGTTTGAAAATGTAAGCATTGCATAGTAGTAGATGACCATGAGTTGAATCCAGGATTAGATACTTCAGTCTTTGTGAAAATGTTGTGAATAAACTTGCAGGGATATTGTGTATGGAATTCCAACAAAAAATTAAAGTTGCTGACATGTCTGGATGCTCGTTTCAAAACAATAGGGAAGCAAATCAGAATTAATTGCATTGAAAGATGTCAAATTCCTTGTGAATCCTGCACAGGAGTGATAAACTCTGAAAGATTTCTGGACAATTTTTCAGAAGAAATGAGGTAATTTTAGTAAGAAATCAGAAGAAGTGTGCTAAAATTTCATACTGAAGTGATGTCAATGCCATCGGATTGCTCATTATTTGATTGTGATCATATGCTTACAGCTACGGGTGCAGATGAATCTCTCTTTGCATCTTTTGTAAAATTTTAAAGCATTATTTTACATGCAGATTCACTATGTTTGTAAAAAGAAATCTGCAGAGATAAAAGGAAAGAAGTGAGACCAGATGTTTCAAAATTAATTTTATTTAAAAGCTCAATAAAACTATCCTAATGTAAACTAATGAAGAACTTGTGTATTTTAATTATGAACATACTTAGCTTATTTACTATTATGTATTCTCTTTATTAGACTTATTTTTATTAATGTCTGCAATTTTTTGTGAAACCTTTCCGTATAAATATTACCCCCATACCAATTTTTAATTTCAGTGAGAATAGTAGTTTCCGGTGTGTTAATTGCTACAGGCGAAACTCTCCAATCAAGTAAAAACCTAAATTATTCACCAAAAATACAGAGAATTAAATTAATGAATGTTCACTTTTTCACTTATGTGTTAACTGTAGAGTAATTACCTCTTTAGTCTCACATAAACTATATTTTATCCTAAATTGATATATAAATTCAATTTTGTTTACATTTAATTTTGAAAATGAATATAATTTAAATAATTAAATAAATTATTTTAATTTCAATAAACGTACGGTGCAAGATTGTAATTCATTTCAGTGCATTGCATCGAAGAAAATTTGAAATCCCGCAAAGTTGACACATTTAAACAGGCGGACAGTGGCTCTACTGTTTCAAAGATGGCGGTGCTATTGCCACTCTATATATCTCTAACGCGTTGGTTAGATTTAGAGAACTACGCTGTATTATGCATTATAAGGCGGCGTAGTATTCCTTGATCGCCGCGCGGATCGCTAGTCTCTGACCAACACGTCACTGGGCATTTAACATGAAGCTGCGCTGTAATATACGTATATTGTGGTGTAATACACCACAAGACATGAAGCGTAACAGTTTCGGCACAGCATTTCTGCATACAAAGTTTAATAGACCTTTTAAAATATTGAAAAGGACAGAACATACAAAGGGACTGCCCTCCCTGCCCCCAGGGGAGGCTCTTGCGCATCGTATCAGACTTCAGCCAATGACCTTCTGACACCAGTTTGCATAACAATATTAGTTATGAGAATTTTGAATGCAGCCAGATACCAAAATTATCACATCGTTTCAACATATTGCAACAGATTTGTGAAGCATTTCTTTTAAATATTGCATCTTGTGCATCGTTATTTTTGGTTGGTTAACACTGAAAACTGTCTCTTTCAAAATGTGTCTCAACACAACTCGCTCTCCTTGCAACATGGTGGTAACGTCTGGTCTAGCTTTTCAAAGTGCCCGAGTCACGTGGTTCGTGTCGCAAATGTGTTGCGCAGAACGAGCAAAAATCGGTGGGCCAAAGAAACTCGCCCATAAATTTCCACCATGGGCTTTGCGTAATAGTTTTTAGGGAGTTGTGCCACCTCGAACGTTAAAGCGCTATCGACCTTCTGCGAATGCGCAGTTTGTTTCGCTCCACTTTAGTGCATCTGCGCATGCGCAGAAGATCGATAGTGCAGTCAGAAAGTATAAATCAGAGACGGCACTCAATGTTAAAGGGAAAGCCCTTATTTTCGTGGAGGGGATAAATTCGAATCTCCCACCCCAACAGAAACAACGAATGAGAAAGAGGCAGCCATATTCGCCCACCGCCAGCCAATAAGCGTGGAAAGGCAGTAAACCATTTGACATGGACGGACGGACATCGATATGGCGTGCACTTCCTAGCGAGCGGCAATTTCGATCTGCACATGCGCAGATGAGAGTGCTTTCGGTTACTTCAAGTAATGAGGGCGATTATGCGGCTGTTATATTTTTTGGGGTGGAGGTGAGATCTTTTCTTACTTTAAGTGCAGAAAAAAGTAAACAAGAGGGTGAAAGAACTCCCCAATATCCGCGTTATGTTTGTCGACATTCCACAGTTAACATTAACTTATTTGTATGAAATTCTTGGGAACTCAAGTAATGTGGGCGATTATGTGGCTGTTACATTATTGGGGTGGAGGTGGGAAGTTAACTTTATTTGCTTTAAGTGCAGAAAAAAGCAAATGCTCTAATATTAAATTATTTTCAAAATTCTTTCCCCTTCACTCATCTGAAAAATGTATAAATGAAGTTTTATTGTACTTTTTCTATACTGCATAAGCAGACCCAAGAAAGTAAAAATAAGAATGTATTACATAAACTGAAAGTTTTTTAAAAAGTAAATCATGAAGGCTGAACTGTACGATCAACTCCATACTATAGTGAACTAAGAGTCCCATGCAAACCCAAGACCCAGTAGCACTTTCAACAAAATTAAACACTACTTTTTTAAATGCAACTTTCTCATCTATTCACTTGTCCAAACAAAACTAAATCTTTAGGTCAAATGTAATTCTACTGAAGCTACTAATTAGCTTGCATTAAATGGATTTTTACAGAGATTTTGGTTTTTAATTTCGAGTTTAACATGGAACTTCAGTGCTAATTTATGAAACAATATGTCATATACATTATGTATGTTTAGTAATATCTGAATGTAAGAAGGGAGGCAAAGAAGTCATAAAAATTTAATCTGTTTTTATTTCAAAGATATTACAATATATCAGAATGTTTATTCTTACATCACAAGAAATAAATGCATTCTATACTTTATTATTACAAGTGAAAATTCCAATTCTAAATGCACTAATTCAACTATTGCATATTTTACTTTTACCTGCAATGGACAAAAAATTTTTCAAACAATTTAGGGAAATGAATTAAAAAAGTAATTGTCTGCCCAACAAGCTTCAAAAATAAAGAATGCTTTCAATAATAATAATAAAAAGAAACAAACATGGGTTATCTTCAATGTCTTAAACTGAATATTAAAGTGGATCAAATTTTATTCTTATTAATTTGTCTTTCCTGAAAAATATTTCTCTAGAAAAAATAATTTTTCCCAGTATTCTTTAACTCGACTCCTTAAATTTTAATACATGTCAGAGAACTTAAGTGACATGAGTTAAAACATCAGCTGGATCACAAATTCCTAAACTCATGTGAGAAAGGATACTTTGTTTCAAATTGAACCAGTATCCTGTTTTATTTATTACCTCTAAATATTTGATTATTTTACAAGCAGCTTTCGTATTGTGTGTATAATTATACATTTTTTCTGTGTTTTATCGTTATTACAGAAAGATTTGTCTTTTTTCTATCAACTAGTTTTGACCAATTTTCAAACAGTCTCAGCTATCATAATATCTAACTGCATGAAAACACTCCAGTTAGGTTTGTTCATAGAATCGTTCTACTATTAAGCAAAAAACAAATAGTTCTTCGTCCACTGGTGTTTAAAGATTAATATTTTTTCTTCTATTAATTAATTAACTACGTATTCTAAAAATGGAAACTTAGTACAAATGAAAATTCAGAGTTAGAGTAGAGTCAAAATATTCCTATAATCTGTTAAATGTAATGAGAGTCGTGAAAGAGACAGATATTTAAAAATGTTTCAGTGTTGCATTGAATATTTAGGAATTTTTTAAGTGCAATAGAAAACCAGATGCCAAGTCAGTTATTATAGAATACATGAAATCAAACTTTAAAGAAGCTTCAGTAAATTAATAGCTTTGGAATCCCAAATAAGACATTTTTGTAAGCAATTTTGGAAAATAAAAAAGTGAGAAGACAAATTACAAATTGATAAATTGAATCCAACCACCAAGTACTTCATATTATATATTGAAAAATATTGTATTATGTGAATCTCCTTAATAAAAAGAACTTCATTTCCACCAACTGTATTCTCAATTATTCTCAACAAAAGTTTCAGTTCACTTTTCATACTACCATTTCACTTTTTACCAGAACCTCCCCAACCCATCAAGCCTTTTACAAAACCAGTTATACCAGCACCTGCCTTTTTACTTCCTGAAGCAGAAGTTTCTATTTTCTCTTCCAATGACGGAAATTCAATAAAATTGTATGCTAAATCAAAAAATAGAGGTTTGCATGGAATTGGTCGCATATCAGGGGGTAGTTTGTACACATTAGGAGAGCGTGATAATAATGAAGTATCCTCTCTATATTCACTGAGTCGTTCTGATAAAGGCTGTGAACAAAAACAAATTTTTTCAGATACATATTAATGACAAAATAATTCTTTCCGTAGCTGTTCATACTTTGTAACACTAATAAATAGATGTTAAATATTACAAAATTATAGTCCTTTATGAATGGTTTAGAACACAAATCGTTTAAGAGGCAAATTCTTTTTTGTGGTTTATTGAAACACTAGTACTTAGAAATAACTTGTCAATATTTGTAGTGAAAATTTTGAAATATTATCAACAATTGACAAATACTGGACTGCTAATTAATTAATTTCCTGTGAAGAGGTCATTCCATTTAAAGTGGACTGAACACCTTATGTTTATATTGAAATTGCAACATGATATACAACTCAACAGGGGTTAGTTTTTGATTTTGAGATTTTTCAAAATGCATCACTTCCAAAAAATTCTAAAACAATTCTTTTAAGTTTCTGAACTGATCATTTAAGTATAAATTTGGGATCTTTTTGAGTTCATATAACAAAATGACACCTTTTTGAGCTTTCTGTCTTAATTTTAGAGGTTCTACATTAATATAAACTTTTTCGGGGATCTCAATTTTGTAATATTTTACTTATTTGTAGTCTTCCTAATCTTCATTCATACTACCTGTATATCAAATTTCATCTAAATCTAAGATGAAAAATTACTTTGTTGATTAAATAAGTAATGCTCCGGGAAATTCTAATTAAAGTTATTGAAACTAACCTTTTTGGTCCGGGTTCCTGCTTTAACTCCAATAATTATTCCATTATCATCTTCTTCTGTTTCCCCTTCAAGGACACTATAAGCATGAGCTGAAAATTCTTCACCTTCAATATTTTTTTTCAACTTCAGCAATTGGGCCTTTAAATCAGCATTTAAATGTTTCCCATTCAATGCTTGGCTTACATACAACTCTGCACGTTTGTACAGAGCCATAGCATCTTGCCATCGCCGTAATGTTGCCAAACTTTGGGCGATATAAAAACATCTGTGAAACAAATATATCAATATTTACTATAGCTTGAAATCTACATTGAAGACAAGACATTAAAAAAATACTATAAAATTAAAACTTGCAGACTAGAGACATTTCCATGGAAAGAGGTTAAAGAGCAATGTACAATTGGAAGATGCACATACTTAATATTCATTCATGTATGTGTTTAGGCCTTTCGGGTTGGAATTTTTTTGTTTAACTCCACCCCCTCTCTTTAAGGCTAACTGTACTGAAAAATACTGGTAGGAAAATTCAATGAATCACAGTACAGTCGAAGGGGAATTTACAATACTGATATCTGAACAAATTGTCCTATTTTTTAGCTGTAAAGGGCAAATGACTCGTGTTTAACCCTTAACCAGTCTAGTGAAAAAGAATTACTCTCCTTGACTGGTGGGGTCCGGGTAGGCTCTGTTTTATAAAATAATATTTCACTCGAATATAAGTGGAGCCATGTTTTTATACTTTGGAATTGGGGGGGAAAATACACCCAAATATAAGACCATCCTTGTTTTTATAACTTATAGGTCAATTCCCAATTAGGTAATGAAATAAATAAAAATATCTATATTATTTACATGCTTATTAAAATGATGCATAAATTATATTGGGCATATCAATATTTTATACACAACATGAAATAAACTTCCATTTTACCACTTGTTCCATTGTCACTTAACTCATGTCCATCCTTCTCACTCCATAACACATCATCCTCTGTGCTACTTCTTATGCTTTCATGCGAATGCCGTTTATAGAAATCCCGAAACCCTTGTTACGATTTTCTTTAACGAATGCGACAACTTAATCGCCGATTTCGGGATGGCGCCCCACTCGTGGTCAACGAAAACATTTCCTTGTGGAATTACAATATTTCAGGCGTTCCTTCATCTCTCCAACGCCATACATTTGCTGGTAAGTTCTACGCTTCCTCTTTTCTCCATGCGGTCGGCTATTGCCACACTAATATATCAGCACACAGCTACATATCACAACCACGAACAGGACTACCAAACGACTACTCAAGTCGCGGTACTCACGAGGCGGATGGAGCAGGAAGCTCGTGGCCTACGAGTGTCTCTCGTTGGCCGCGAAGAAGGCTTTGGCGACATCACAGCTGTGGCAACACGGCTAACTGCCGCTAAGGAAAACTTTACTCCTATCTAACGATTCTGCGTAACGGCTGGGAAAATTATTCTACATCTCATAACTTCAATTATGAACATATCCAATAACAATAAAAAAAACGAATTTTCTATTACAAATTACTTTTCTTTTTGAAGTTAACTTTTACTACACCAGGAACAACATAATACCGTTGATATTGCATTTTCTTCATATGCCCGATTATTTTAAAAGGTTGAAAACGGGACAAAATCCACGTCTTATATTCGGGTAAATACGGTATATAATCATTTACATTATAATGGGTAATTTTATTACATTTAAATACAATTTTCGCACATAAATTTTGCATGACTTGTGCAAATATGTTTGGTGCACTTGGTGCATTCAATTTTTGTTTTCCTATCTGCTGTTCTCGGGACCTCCTCGCATCTGGCTTTTCATGCTTGAGTGTGTACGTCTAGGTTATTCTCAAGTGGTTTGCCTCCAAATTTCAGTATAATTTCACGTGGCAAAGGGCTGACATCACGACGTGAAATGCGTGGCTGTACAAGTGAATGCCCAAGTTCCATCAACGTCTTTCTACTCGATTCATTTTCGGAATTTTTATTGCAGTATTTGAGATTACTAGTGTGTACACATGCTATGTTTAGAACTGCATAAAATATCACCATTGGCCAGTGACAGCTACCGCCACCGCATTATGAACAATAAAATATAATTACGTTGTTATTTTAGACAAAAAGCCCATCCGATCACCTGCTGGGGATCTTGAATGAGGAATACAAAGAACCTCAGCGCAATATATCGGTACTTTTAGTTACTAACTTGCCTGGGGTCCACCAGACCAGAAGAGTTAATAATTTACGCAGTAAAGCATCCCCCCCGCCAATGCCAAAACTCGTTTTACAAATAGTTTTTCATAGTTCTATAAAAAAAATTGGCTTAAAGTGCTATGGGCTTCCTGAATTCAATCCGTATTAACCGTCAAATCGGATGAATAGGTGCGGCATTAAGTGAAATATGGCACAATATATTGCCACCCTCCCCTCGGCCGCAATGCCGCGGCGACAGTAGGCGGGCAGAGAAGCACGTGGTAGGAGAAGCCAGGCAGGCAAACAGGCGGTTGATTCTCTTGTGGGCAGAGTTAGATTATTCAATGCTTTAGTCATTTTTCGTTTTCAGTATCAGTTTTCCACATGTCAAAGTAGTGGTGCTGTTACAGGAGCAGAAGTCGTATCCTTTGTAACGGAAGCATAAATTGAATTTATAAATGTATTTTGACTATTCCACTCGTGAAATTAAAACCAATGGTGTTTAACTATAAGAATAATAAGTCCCAATTACGGCAGTGTATCTCAAAAACTTTATCGCTTTTACTATCCGGTTTTTCGTACCACTCCTACTGGCCAATCATAAGCTCCGTCTTTTGTTTCTTAGGAGGCGGTATGTATCAACCGCTGTGTGAAATAAACCGCGTATGTATAACATCTTTAATTTTAATATAGCTTTCAGTGATTTTCAATTGTACCAACATGGTGAGATTCGATGACGTGTTTGACTACCAAATAAATGAAATAATTCGTGAGGCTCCATAAAACACGGAGAATAATAGAAAGTATATTTGACATTCATATTTAGATGCATTTTTTAAAACAAGTGCTTCGTATTTTTAAAGTCATATTTTGAAATTCTTTTTCTTTAGAGACTTCATTTAATTAATTAAAGATTGGTTGCGCGTGAGAGCCGCAAAAGGTATGTACACTACTAAAATAATATAGGAGATGCCAGTACATCACTGAAACTATACCTGAAAATCAATGAGTACAACCATTCGGTAATTATAAATAAATACAGACATTCATCATGAAACATATGTTTTAGAATTCAACACGGTTGTGAATAAAAGTGAAGTTCCTTCAACATTATAAAAGAGTGTGTCTTTAATAAATATATTTTCTACTGAAAGAATGTTTGTTATTTTAATATTAATGTTTGTTACTTTAAAGTAAAATAAACATACATTTCATGTCATCGTCTGTATAATCATTTATTTATCTCGATTTTGATTACAAATCGACCGCACAGTTTAACCTTGCCCATCTGCTACTTTAGCGGATGGCTATGATAAAAGTGGCGAAATATGAAAAGTAAATGAATAAAGTACGTTAATATAATATTTGACAAATTTTGGAATTGTACGTAATTTCATTAGTGGAATAGTCCTATTAAATACCACAAGTGCTCTGGAAATTCGCAGATAAACTCCAAAACACTCGTAGTATTACCATTATTAATTTAGAAGAATCAGAAGACATCAGAAGGTTAGGAAAATAAGAGTTTCGTGTATTATAAAGTACAAGAACAGTCGACTCCGTTATAGTGAACTTGTGGCAACTAACACTTATTGTTTACTATATCCGAGGATATCAAAATTAAATAGAATTTCTCCACGATTGATTTTATTATATACGTAGATATACAGAAAATACATTAACAGCACGAACTGAAAATTTTATTATCTTTATTTATCCTTTAAAAATCAATTTTCAATTATTTGCTTCGTACATTTTCCATTACCAATTTCTTTTCTAGATCTTTCTCTAGAATTCGTGCTCTCGTCATAAATGATCCTACATTGTCCACTGTCTCGAAGTATTGTAACGCAATCTTGGCACTCTTCAATGCCACGTGCACTGTTGGAAACCCCACTCTTTGGAGGTCCTTTTACTCGCCTAATAACATATTAGATCCTTTCGCTAGTGGCATGGTGCCAGCGGCTAATGAAACTGATCGCTTTTCCGCGCGGCACGGCGGGTATCGGGAGGCTGTGGTACTATGGCAGTCGCGCGCTTATTGTCGCCTACGTAGAATACAATGCGCTAGACCCGCGGAATATCACGAAACATCACGCCTGAAACTGAGTGGCATGAGGTAATCAGTAAGGTCCCATTAAATTACATTACGTTCCTTTCAAGCATTCGAGTTCTTTGCGCGTCCTGCCACCGAAGTGTCGGGTCCATCAAGTACTAAGAGGGGATTATCAGCCGTTGCCTCGCTGGAGAGTCATCGCCCTGAACAGCCTATTCCCCCGTTCAAAATATATTTAATACTCACAATCTTACTTTCAAAAACTTGCTGAATTATCAACGCATCCTCTCAGACACTCATACTACGAAGAAAAGAAACAACTAGTGGAGATAAAACAGCAGGTGCTTTCTCGCAAACTTACGCAAAAAGTAATCAAAGTTTTGAAAATTTGTACATTTCAAAATCTCTCTTTAAGGAACAGATTTCATTAAGAGAAAAAAATCTCTATCTTCATACTAGTAATAGTAGAAAGACGCCGAAAAAATTGTAAACTTTTGCAATTTTCTAAAAATCGGAGTTTTTAACAAACGTGAAACTTGCACCATTCTCTTAAACGTCCTTCACACTATCCAACAACAAAATTTAATCAAAAACGGAGTATTTTTTAAAAAATTTCCAGGGGGCTTAATGTAAAGAACCCCCCCCCCCAAATTAAATATCAGTTTCAAATTCAAGGGGCCGCGACATCTGCCAGATCGGTAGAAGAAAATCGGCTGAATGGTTTAGACGCTAGCTATGTTCACAGACGGACGGACGGACGTATAAACGTGCTGCCGTAAATCGATTTTTCGGTATCAAGGATAAACATACCATGGATTCTGCTACACCACGGGTTAAAGGAGTTTTCCCCTAGATTTGGCAACTGGATTTGTCCACTTTTTCGTAACCTGTAATAAGTTTCTCTCCGAAAATTCCCAGTTTTTCGCGCAGCAATACATAACTTTCTCTTTACTGCTGTTGTGAGAAAGTGATAACATTTTCTTAACAAAGGAATTAACCACTTTCATTCGTATGTAGCAAATAGTTCTGTGTCAAGTATTCCCAAAACGCAGATTTTTTACACGACTGTGTGGTAAAAGTGTACAAATTCAGGACATTAGGCAGAAACAAAGAAAACCCGGCGGGACACATGTCGATATTCAGAACATATCCTCCTCTTTCAGGACTGTTGTCGATGGTGCGCTTATTACGGGCCTGCATAAAATGCTCATCCCGTTGTGGGTGATTGGTGTGTACAGTGAACGGAAAGGGAGAAGGGAAGCGGGAAGGATCCTCTCGCTACCCCAGACTAGTTGTTTGGAGAGGAAGGATTTGGGGGGGTGGGGGGAGAAGAGAGGGAAGTAAAGTAGTTGGTGTTAGAAAGGGTGAAAATTTGTACGTTTGCACGTTAGCGGGGGGTGGGGAAGGGGGTGGAAAGGCCTTTGGGCAGGTGGGCGATTTCTGGTAATCAGGGCAAAAATTCTTCTCCCATCCTCTAGACGCCCTACAACAATCAATAATGAGGTTGTAGGACGTCTAGAGGATGGGAGAAGAATTTTTTGTTTGGGTGGATTCGACAAGATTTCTTGATGTGTGGAAATGAATGGAGTGAAGCGTAGGTTATGTAGGGCCTTTTGGATATTGTATCTGGCTGTGTTGAAAATGTCTTGTCGGAATGAAGCGAGTTTTAGCGTCTGTCTAGTCTGTGTAGGTTAGTCATTGAGGAGGTCTGAATGCAGTCCATAGAAATCTGTTTTCAAGTTTGTGTAGCTCGTCGAAATTGTAGTTGCAGGTAGTGGCCCACGTCTCACTGATGTATTTGATAGTCGGTTTGATGTAAGTCCCGCAAATGTGAAGTTTTCTGTTGTGAACTTTGTCGTTGTGTTGGGGTGGGTGATCCTGGGGAGAGAGCACTCAGTTGTCTTTGGTGGTAGAGTAGTTATCGGTCTAGAGTAATTCCCAAGTATGTCATGCTGTCAGTTCAGTTGATAGGGGTGTTGTCAAGAGTGAGTGGGAGTGTGTTAAGTTTAAGTTGTTTTCTTTTCTCCATTGGGTTATGTGGTTTAGTATTTCCTTCGGGGTGAGGAATGCTTTTGGTAGTCATTGTTTAGTAATAGTCAAGGCGGAGTAGTCAGCGTAGCCATTTATTTTGGCGGCAGATGGTAGGTTGTTAATATACAGAGTGAAGAGTGTCGGTGAGAGAACTGCGCCTTGGAGAACGCCGGCTGTAATGGGTCTTATGGAGGAGGTTATGTTGAAATGGTTGATGTGAAATGTTCTGTTGCAGAGAGTTGGTGGAAATGTGGGGGTTTGTAGACGAGGGTGTTCTGGTTAATGGGATCAAAAGCATTAGAAAAGACGAGAAAGATGGAACTGGTGGCGCGGGATTTTTGTTTCGTTGGAGTCTGGTGGCAATGTCACATGAAATGCGTAAAGTCTGAAGTGCTGATGACCTACCAGTCCGGAAGCCGAATTGTGTTGGCCACACCTTTCGGTATTCTTTCGAAGATTTTGCCCAGAATGGGTAATAAACTTATTTAGTCTGTAGTTGTCAGGGTCTCTGTGTGATTTGTTTGGTATGGGAAGCATAATAATTTTTGTGCTCTTTCAGGACGTATAGCAACTCGACCTATACTACATGAAAGATGACCTTCGTTTATAAACACATACATTAGATAGTTGTTTAAATGATCAAGTCAATTTAGTGTTCCAAAACGATGACAACCACAACGTAGAAAATGATAGATAAGGTGTTCAGAAAAATTCCCTGTCTGTAATATTGAAGTGAGTGTGAGTGTGTGAGTGTGAGTGTGAGTGTGTGAGTGTGAGAGTGAGAGAGTGTGAGTGTGTGAGTGTGAGTGTGAGTGTGAGTGTGTGTGTGTGTGTTCATTATGGTTGGTTAAATGAATGAAATAGTTAAAGATAAGATGACTTGACAGTCCCCAACATGCAATGTACTTCACATTATCATTCATTCACATCAATTATTAACTCACATAACTCACCTAAAAGCCTTATAACACTTGATTTTTTCTTCTAGTTCTTGTTGATATTGGAAATCATCTTCTAAGCCTGGTAGTTGCTGAAGTTCATTAAAATTCTGGAGAATTATTTCATAAAGACGGGTCAGATCCTGAGGCCTCACTTTTCGTCCTTCTACAGCATTCTGCAAAGAAATTATTTTATGCAGAATAATAATACCTGCACCTTAGTCTTACACATCCTTAATGTTATGTAAGGTCTAAAAAAAAAAAAAAAAAAAAAAGGTTGAAGAAAATAAAAATTATCTTATTTTTGACAAATTTTCCCCCAAAATACATTTTTTTTCTGCTTTTCCTCTAGCATACGAGAGTTGCCTTTTATATTTCAGGATTAGAGAATCAAAAACAAATATTAATCATCGAAAATCACTTTATTGTTTTTCAAAATATTCCCCATGAAGATCTATACACTTTTGCCACTCTGATTGAGGTATCTCCAAAACATGCATTCTGAATGCAGCAACCGCTTCATGTGTCGAAAAACGTTGGCCTCTCAGTTTGTTATTTACGTACGGGAATAAAAAGAAGTCATTCGGTGTTAAGTCAGGACTATACGGCGGATGACTCATCAAATCGATGTTTTGGGTGCTCAAAAATGCAGTTGTTTGAGCCGATGTGCGAGAGCTCGCATTGTCGTGGTGAAGAGTGATCCGTCGTCGGCGGTTGGTTTTCCTGATTTCTTGGAAGACAGCTGGCAAACAAATTGTTGTGTACCACTCAGAATTGACTGTTCTGCGTTGTTCTAGTGGTACTGTTGCGACATGTCCAGTTTTTTTCGAAAAAACAGGTGACCATCTGTTTGGAAGTGCTTCGTGCGCGAACAACTTTTGTTGGATTTTGCTCATCTTGAAACACTCATACAGGCGACTGCTGTTTACTTTCGGGCTCATGCGCATAAATCCACAATCCATCACCTGTCCCGATGTCATAGACTTGTTTCGAAGCACCGCGATCCTGTAACACGTGGTGTGAATCCCAGTTTTGTGGTCTCGTAATACCGAAAAGTTAATTAATGGCAATACATCTTTGTCCGTCTGTGAACACGGCTAGCACCTAAACCATTCGGCCGATTTTCTTCAAAATTGATTGTCCTCTATCGATTTGAATTTTTTGTGATTCTCATTTCCGCAAAAATTTCCAATTTTTTGAAAATTGCAAAACTGCAATTTTTTGGGCTTCTTCCTACATATAAATATTGAAGATAAGATTTTTTTCCTTAATGAAAAAGGCTTATTAACAACGGATCTCTAAATAAGTTGTTTCAATTTTAAGAAAAGAGTAGTTTTCCTGTAATTTTGCGCAAAATATAGGCAATTTTTCCCTCTCAAAAATCACTACAAAATTTTTGTGAGTGTAAAGCTGGCACAACCACTATGCCGCTAACTCAAACCAAATAGAATATTTAGTACTAGATGGATTCCTAATTTCTTCGGTCGGGGCCAACTTTTTTTACATTTTTGTCCCATCCTGCCCACGATTGTGACAACCTCACAATGTATTTTTGGAATTACTCATAAGTACCCTTAACAGCGAAAATTGGACCAATGGCAAGTGTATTTTAGTCTACTCTTAACTCTAACTCTGTTTGTTTCACACCGATAGGAACATGATGTGTGTTAAATGACTGAGTTCTAAAAGTATGTGAATGCTGTTGAGGTGTTCGAGGAAGGTGTGAATAGATTCGGAGCCATGGGGCCAGATAACGAAAGTATCGTCGACGTACCGCAGCCATAGCGATGGTTTAAGAGCGCGTTTTCTAGGGCCTGTTCTTCAAAAGCTCCCATTAAAAGGTTCGCGACGACCGGGGACAACGGTCAGCCCATAGCGGTGCCTTCTGTCTGAGCGTAGAACTCTTGCCCATATTGGAAAAAAGGTGGACGTAAGGCAGATCTCAGTGAGGCTCCACTCTACCGCATAGAATGCACGAAACGAACCTTCCAACCCGCCCCGCAAGACAGCCCGATTGCAAAGGAGTCACGGACAAGATCGGCAGAGTGTTGGGCAGAGCCGACATCCGCCCCGTGTTTCATTCTCGCAACAAGATCGGGAGGAGCCTGGTACAGGTAAAGGATTGTCTGGACCCTCTTCAAGATGCCGGCTTCTATGAAATCCCCTGCAGCTGTGGTCTAGTTTACATCGGACAAACCGGGCGCACCGTAGAAGAGAGTATGCGGGAGCACATGCGACATAACCGGCTTCAACATAGCCACAAGTCGGCCTCGGCACAACACGCCGCCGAAACGGGCCACCTGGTCAACTTCCACGAAACCCGCACCATAACAACAGAAGACCGGTGGTGGCCTCGTCTGATCAAAGAGGCTTTCGAAATCTCTAGGAGGCCCGCAAACCTCAATAGAGATGATGGGCTCCGTCTCAGCAACACCTGGAGACGGGCCGTTCCCCCCTGCCAATCCGGTCCCGCCCCGCGGACGGCCAATGACGTGGCCGCCCGGTGGACCATCCGATATTTCCGCCGTTCCCTTCCACACAAATAAATCTTCCAGGTGTATATCCTGTTCAGTTTTCTATTTTCTACTCTTCCGCCCCACTCCCCTTCCCCTACCTCAGCTGGTCACCGCCATCGTCCACCTTTCCTTCTCCGCCAATCACGAGACACCCGCCCTCCTCCTATTGGCCGCCGCTGCATCCAGTCGGCCCACGCGCCTTTCCTTAAAGATGAGACACGACAACCTAGTTTTCAGTATACGCACATTCACGAGTTTTTTTGTTTTGTTTTTTGAATGTAGGAAATATATCACTGATTTTCGAAAAGAAAATTAATATGACACGAAGGAATAACATTGTTATCATACAAAGGTAGAATTAATATAGTTTTTTTCAAATAAGTCAAAAAAAGAGAAACGGTAGGGAATTAAAAATATTTTGTGTTTGTAGGTGGCTATTTCAGACTGCAGAAGGTGCAGAGGTGGTCAAATTCTGTAGATTCCCACAAAAATTAGCTTCATCTGGCTATCTGTAGCACAGATACCAAAAACATGTTTTTTATGTTTTAATTTTCTTCAGTTTCTATTCCGTATATTAGGCTGAAAACAATTGTGGAATTTCAAGGTCTTTTTCCAACAAATTTTGACACTAATTTCAAAGGAGAGAGAGGGGGAGGGGAGAGGGTGGAGAGAGGAGAGGGAGGGAGAGGAGAGGG